GAATGTGAGTTGCAGCCACGTTATCGTCCCATACAGCAAGCTCATCGATTCAACCGTGGCCAGGCTGTGTCTCCAGCTCACTCCCAACTGCAGACCTGTGCGCGCGTGCATCACCGTGCGTCGCATAAGTGGGCGAGTGGGCGTTTCGAAAAATTGAACGACGAGGCGGTTTTGCTGGCACCTCCACCCTCCCTTCCCTCTCCTTTCCCCCTATCTTATTAATGGGAATCCCAGCGGTGGTAGTGGCAGCTGCAGTAGCAGTCGTACCAACGGAAGAACATGATTGCAGCAGAGATAATATGTGATGTAAACTACTACCACTCTACGCTAATTAAAATCTCTCGGACTGCGGACTGTGGCGACAACGCACGCTGTTGAGGGGGGACAGGGGAGGAGTGGTGAGAATGGAACTAGGGCAGGGGACAGTAAACCCGCGTAGCGGAAAAAGAGGTTGAATATTAGGATGCAATGAATGGCGTGTCGCTTTGTTGCTGGCAAAAACTGCTGAGGGAGCTTGAAAATTAAAGAGATAGGACTTTGCAAGCTTTATTCTACTCTCTTAGTAGGTGTGTCTTTAAATTCACCTGTTTTGGATGCCATAGGTAAGCTTAATCCATCTTCAAATGGAATCTTTGCTATTAAAGAAGGTAAACAGCAGGACTGGTTGCAGATTTCTCAAAGTCTGTTTTATTAAATAGTCGGTACCTTAAAGTTGAAAGATAACGGTTAGACAAAGCGTATACATTAAGGTTAGCTCTAACAGTCTCCAACCAATGCTGCTATACTTAACGGCAAAATAGGTTTCTGTTCAGCAGAAGTTCTCTGCTCGGATGTATTAGTTACGGAGGAGGAAGAGGAGACCGAGACGGTATTTCGCCCACACGTTTCCAAATGCTTGTTTAGGTAGGCCCTCAAAGCGAACTGTTTCTTACAGTGTGTGCATTCATGGAGTCGAAGAGCGGAGTGAGTTTGCATATGAGCCCGAAGATTAGAACGATCTGCAAAGGCTCGCCCACAATGAGCACAGCCGTATGGCTTCTCACCTGTGTGGGCGCGCCGATGTCCTTGTAAGAGCCAGGGCCGACTAAAGGCCTTCCCGCAAATATCACACTGGTGTTTTAGGTTATGGGTCAGTATGTGCATGGAAAGCGCTGGCATTGAGACATAAAGTTTACCACAATGGGGACACTTTTTTGCTAATTGACTGTCCAAGCTCCTGTGCGTCTGTTTGTGCCGACTGAGATTGGAGGAGGTTGCATAGTGCTTACCACATTCGCTGCAGGTAAAACGAGGTGGCAGAGATGTCTGCAATGGTGTTGAAACTCTGGAAGCACATTCAGAGGACTCGGAAGAGGAAGAAGAAGGTACCGTGATGCCTTCACTAGGCTCCGCACATTTGCGTTTTCTCGATCGACCATCAGATACAAAGAAGGCATCATAGGTGTAGCCGACTGTGATTCCAGCCTGAAATCCAGACTTACGGCGTTTTTGGCCCGCTTTATTTATCGTGGTTGCCGCTAGAAGTGTGCTGTGGATCGAGGTATTTCTTTTGTTAAGGGAATCCAAATTAGTTTTTTGTGAGGGAGATGCTGGTTGCACATTGGGTAGACGGCCTAAAATGCTCCAAAAGGACTCCTCCTGATGGGCTAGGCCAGACTTATCTGATTTAACCGATTTATTTACAGATAAGTCAATGCCATCTGCAAAAGAGATATTACAATTGGTTAGTGAAAATTTAAAAAGTTAATGATTTAAACAGATGGCCAATTCGATTATGAAGCGCTTTGAATTCAATAAAATCGTAGGACTGCTCATTTTCCACCATATGCTTCTCAAGACATAATTCACACCCCTCATCACATCACTGAATTCCGAACAGATGGGAGGTGGTAAGAATGTGATGGAACCCACACAGGTACTTAAAAATTTTGGTACAAAAGAGCTATTGGCTAATCGTAGGCTCCAGATAGAGGCTATTCAGGTAGCACATTAGGAGCAGGTGCCGTAGAACTAACCTATCTTCACAAATTTGCGAACATTCACAGTGCGTTGGCAATAAGGCCAGGAAGGATGTGTGCATATTATCCCACGTGTATGGTGTAAATATTTACGGGGTAGTGCACCTTCCCCATCATGGGTGGCCCTAGAACACGCCTCGAGCACATGCCTACAAACGGATGCATCTCGATCCCAACAGGTAAGGAGGCAGAGATTGTCATGGTGGGAAGATTTGTAAGTGTCCTCCCATTCGGGTCATAGTCAGTCCTGACTCGGAAACCAGTGTAACTTTCCCTCTTACTTTAGCTGACTTCATGCCTTAATCGTATTTAAACAAGTTACGACGGATTACTTGACCATAGTTGATAAGATTGTCTGTTTTAGGCTAAATGAATAAGTTTATTGAAACTGAATAAGCTCTGCTGTGCCTTCGTACGATGAGATAAAGCATGTCTCATAAACACGTCAAATCGGTGTGCGTGAACTTGTCAAATGACACGCAATTAGTTCCCTTCATCCTGTTTTTTATGATCATCTTTTACCCCTTCTCCCCGTGACCCATCCACATGACCCACCGATGTTGCTGTTGCTAGGGTCATCATTACCTGTTTGTTCCTCCTAAACTTTTTATTACCTCTTCATTGACATGGGTCGCACGTTGCCTGCTTTTCTGTTCCTGTTAAATGGTCCTTTAACTACCGTCTTCGCCTAACCGTTGTCAACTCACTTGAACTCCCTCTAAGCCCTCTTATCGGCCGAAATTTGACAAAATAGACCCAAGTCGTGATTGAATTTTCACTAAAACTAATCTGGAAGATTAGATCCGACAGTTGGCTCCATACGTTGGCCATAGAGACGAGTTAAGAAGGAGCGTTGATAAAAGAGGCAGGTGGTGAGTTACTTTTGAGGACCGTAGAACTTCCTCTGCCCCCCTCTGTCATGTCGAATCAGTGCATTCGTAGCCTCCGCTGCTGCCGAAGGGCACCTGGTGCGAAGTCGGGAGGGTTTAGCGAAGGGGAACCTAGAGAGTGGGAGGGGTTGTGCGCACACCCGGATGCGTGCCACCAAGGCGCGTGTCATTATGCTTTTGTGGAATCACAGTTTCACCCCACGACACGACACGACACGACACGTGTTGAAGGGCATAATTTAATGTTACAGGGCATTTGATCTTTCAATGTTTTTATGGAGAAGTGTTAGGTCAGTATAAGGTATGGTAAAATTTCCACACTGCACGAATTTCCAAAATGCGGGGTCACTCGACATTTCAACCATGGAAAAGATTAACTTTCATCGATCCAATTAGGCATCGATTATTATTCGATTGCAATTTGCGGTGCTTCTAAGATCAATTTTAAGTGGTAAAGACTAAACTAATACCCATGCTGCATTAAGCACCGATTTACTACGTAAACGAATAAAACCCTCCAAAGAAAAGCTAAAGGACTCAGATTTAGGGATGGATACCTTGCATCTGACTAAAAAAGATTGCAAACAAATCACAAAACTCAAAAATTCACTGTCAAAACTTGACTAAATTACGTATTAAGGTACTTGCGGTATTATTTAACCACTATTATAAAACCAGCAGCTTACTTTCTTGAGGCACGTCTAGAGCAGAATATGTCAACGATGAAGATATTTCTGTACGGAATTCCACTTGACTTCTCCAAGGCTGACTGATTTGATTTAGCAGCTCCTGAGAACAAACATACGGAAGCACTGATGCGTACGACGACATATCAGGAATAATCAGAGAATTATTTCCACCCAGAAGATGTAAGTTTGGAAGTGTCTTAGCACTATAATTGGTTGAAGGAACCATAATGTCACTGAAAGGATTGAAAAAGGGTATAGGACCATTCATCATTGGTTTTGCATTCGCAGTGCAGAGGTTTATATTATATGTGAATATGTTCGTAGCCTTGTTATAAGAGACGCGCGACTCGCGTCTCTCATTGGCCAGTTTTGCTTCGCAAAGGTGCGCAAACCTAAAGCCTTTACATTGATAGCCAATCCGGTTGCGAGTTTCGCAATCATGAGCGCAACAACATTTAGGCAGCCACAGCCATTGCTAACAATGCATTTTAGGACAAAACAGCTGTAAATAATTTTTTGCTACTTGGATGCGCACCTAAATTTTTCTAGATGCCTTTTATCTAGCGTTTCTATAATGATCCCTAGTCCCTACTTGTCGCTCAAATTATAACGACACAATTATTTTGGCGCATGCTAAAATCGAAAATACTGCAATGCGACAGAACACACAAAGGGAAACTTAGAGCTCCAGATCTGCACTAATGATGCTTTTATTATCGCATATTTACGTGTTCAATCTGTTTTTGCTCCAAAATAATGCCTCATAAAATGTGATGCTGTGGACATTTTATAATTCGTTTGTTCATATTCAAAGTTAGTGTTATGACGACAAATCCTCATTGATGAAATGAGTTAGTGAAAATGAGGCCTTTCGAGCTCCTCATTTAGGATGTCGTGCTCTAGCATCGCCATTAAAATTTAGGAAAGAAACATAATAAGAGTGTTTTTGCAACATGTCTTTGGCCAAATTTAAACTCAGTAAATTTGGTCTTTTAATTAAAGTTGGGATCCGATGCTTGCAAGTGAAGCTTTATAGTCCCAGCATTACTACCAAATGAAAGTAAACTGAGCAATTCCTTAAAGGATATTTGGTTTTTATCATGATCGCAAAACTTGAATACGAATTGAGTTGAGAACCTTTTAATGCCTTCATCTTCTTGCCACATTCTTGCTTTGGATGCACTAAACGGAAGTAATCCTGTGCATCCGCCTATCTTTAATCCAAAGTATAGTAGTTGTGATTTCATTTGCTTTTTATCATGCAGTAATGTCCGAAACCCATGCATTATTTTCATTAAAGCGAATGGCAAATTAAGGCTCAGAGTGGCATGAGAAAACAGACGACGTTTGATGGAAGTCTCCGTTCAAGGGAAAACAGATGTGGTTTCAATTTGTTTTTCTAAAGGGGAGCAGAGGATCTTCGACAAATAGTGGCAGTAATGAAGGAAAATCAACACTACGGTAAAATAACAATCACACGTGCATGATGCTCGTCCACTCAGCCGTCTATATGCATCCTCCCCCGCTTATGCCGCCTCATTTTATGTTGTGCGTCAGTAGGACATACATTTTTGACCCCACCTTTACGCCTTTATTCACTTCTGCTACAGAAGACTTAGATGTAGCTAATTAAATACCTGTCTCAAGCGGAGAGGAGGCACCACTCTTGGTTTCCCACTTTAACATTATATACCCTTTATCCCTTTGGTAACAAACAGCTGTCAATCCTTGCTGCCAAATGCGTAAAAATGTAAGAAGCCGCGCAACTTTGACCTATAGATTTAGTCATAAAGTATGTTGAGACACAAAGTCTGTCTATTCAAAGACATTTCTTTCGTATTTCTTGCGTATATGCAATTACAGGAAATGAAGAATCCATTCGGTTTTGGCCTGATAGCTTTAAACTCCATTATAAAAGCCATTAATGTCTCGGGTGAACAGTCATGCTTACGAAATGGCAGGCTAATTGGACTGACATCATACATACATATGCTTAGCTCTCTGACGAGTTTAGGAGTACTCACGAGTATCATTGGAACATATTTGCAATCTAAATTAATTCAAAACTCGCATTTATTAGTGGATTCGGTCTAAATCTTGTTATTATCATCTGTAGGACATAGTTAATGCAGCAAAATCATTAAATTAACAGCTCAGAGGTCTCAATTCTTAATTCAGCAATCGAGGAACCTAGATGGTATGCGCATTCACTGAGTTCATTTGGTGTATAGACAGTATGCAACGCGCTTCGCAACCGTGTCTTCACTTTGTGTGCATTTTTTGGGAAGAAAAGAGAAAAACAAGTGAATATTGTAGGCAGCCACTCAAGCAGGTGATTGTACGAACTTCATTTCGATATGGACTTATACGGATGCATATATTTCACCCACAAAGCAAAGCGTAGGTTGTTGTTCAAGCTTTTCAATTTATGTATAGAACAGATCCAAAAGACGAGATAAGCACTGCACATATTGGTGCGCTTTTTTGAACAGCCCTAAACCACAGGGTGGCGCATGAACACAGGGAGGCATTCAAGCAGACAGACAGAAGCAAAATATAGCCCTTCATTTCCTTCTCCTCAACTTCTCTCACCCCCATTACAATCCCTGCTTTCCCGCTTGCTCTTCAAGATGGAATTCACGATAAGCTCTCTATTCACCTGTCACCACAGGCAACTGGTTCCGAGTAAGCTAAATCATTCTTTGCCTGGATGCACTCTTTTTCGCTATTTGGCCATCTTCAAATGATACAGCAGTGAAAAAGTGAGGTCAGAATTCATCCCTACTTTTGCTCATAGTGTTGCTGTTCATAGCCTGTTTTGTATGCAGGAATTTGCTTAAGAGAGAACTTAAAATATGGAGTAAAAGCATCGAAAACTGCACTCAATCAAATAAAAGAATCCAAGCGAAAACTTCATTTCGAATGTCTATAATGATCCCTTTGACCGCTTCAACTTATCTTAGTCCATCACCGTCAAACGCAGTTGCAATCGAAATGGCAGTTACTGCCTAATTCTGTAAATATTTTACGTTTGTTCATAGCATTCCAATGTGGAGTAGCAAATACAATTTGCCAATCTGACCAAACTTGTGCTTAA